AGAAGAGCCTAATGCTGGGAAAGATTGAGGGAAATAGAAGAAGGGGACGACAGAGAATGAGGTGGCTGGATGGCGTCACTGAAGCAGTAGGCATGAGCTTAAATGGACTCCAGAAGATGGTAGAGGACAGGAAGGTCTGTAGGAAAGTTGTCCATGGGGTCGCGATGGGTCGGAGACGACTTCGCAACTAACAACAACAACAACAACATGAGAGATATCTAATGAACTTTATTAGAGGAAAGAAGAAATAGTTCCAAAAAGAAGCAAGACTTAAACTAAAATAAGGACAAGAATCTTGAAGTATATGACCTCCTCTCATAAAGAATCCTAAAACAAAGACAATTAAATTATAATATGATTTAAATGCATCAAGGAAGATAGTAAAAAAGATAAGGTTTAATAAAAAGTAGAAAGAAGAATTACTGAAATAAATTTGATAAACATGCTGAATAACTACAAGAAATTGGCCCACATGTAAGTGTTCTGAACAAACAAATGAAAAATCAGATATATTTAAAGAAAATGTACAGTTGGAAAAGTAGAAAAAAGGCTTGTTTGTTATTAGTAGGTGAAAGAAAATATCTTATTAAATTGCATAGCTATTCAAACCAGGCATATTGGGATCAGCAAGCAAACAATACAGAAAAAAATCCATGCCTTTAATACAGTACTCCAGGGCTGCCAAATCCATATTAAATAAGGACAATAAGTGAGTATAGCGCAGGGGTCCTCAACCTTGGCAACTTTAAGACTTGTGGACTTCAACTCCCAGAATTCCTCAGCCAGCAAAGTCCACAAGTCTTAAAGTCCACAAGTCTTAAAGTTGCCAAGGTTGAGGACCCCTGGAATAGCGGGAACAAGACTGCTACAATGTTAGTGGTACCTCCTTTCATTAAAATCAGGGTTAATTTCCTGTCTAACTGTAGGGTCAGTAGGGCACTTGATCCTACCCTTTAATCCTTCAGACACTGAAAGTATGTCACTATCAGAGTTTATATGTGACAGAAATATCTGGACAGAAAATATAAAAAAATATAGCTTTAGGAAACTAGTAAAATTGAACAAATTTCCTTACCAACTCTATTACTTTTATAAGAGTACTTATGGCCTTGATAGACCAAAGCAGTCTTTAGGCTCCTTGATCCTCTATTACTCAAATGCAATATTATATACTGTATGTAGCCAGCATTAAATTACAGCCACTTATCCTGAAGAAACTCAATTACAGCTAAAATATATAAATCATCAGGCTGGTCAAACATGAATGCTTCAAGTGTTTAGTGACCAAACATTCACCTGTTCTTTGGCTGTCCTGAATTTCCTCAGGAGGAAAGCTGAGCTTTCTGAGGTGCTATAATCACTGCCTATACAAAAAGTACCAAAACCCTCCTAAAAGCACATGACCAACAGATGGAATAAAAGACCAACCAGGAAAGAAAGGAGTCAGTGGCTATCAAATTTGGGAGGAAAACCATGCAATTCAGTTAAACTGGGTATCCTTTTTAGATGGATAATCCATATGGATAATCCTTTTTAGATGGATAATCCAATGCAGCTCGCTTTTGCGCGAGCTGCATTGGCTGCCGGTGGCCTTCCGGGTGCGCTTCAAGGTGCTGATTATTATCTTTAAAGCGCTCCATGGCATCGGACCTGGTTACCTTCGAGACCGCCTCCTGCCACAGATTACCCCCCACCGACCTGTACGCTCTCACAGAGTGGGTCTCCTCAGGGTGCCGTCAGCCAGACAGTGCCGGCTNTGGCCTGAGGGATTTTAAAGGGGGTTTTAATTACTTTTAAATTGGACATATTTAAATATTTCGTTTTAATCAAATTTTAATTAAGTATGTATATATGTTAGTATTTTATTCAATTGTCAGCCGCCCTGAGTCCGTAAGGAGAAGGGCGGGATATAAATGCAATTAATAAATAAATAAATAAATAAATAAATAAAATATTGTTGAAAGAAAACTACAGAGATATATTCATGAAGTCAATACAAGTCAAGCTTGGCTCAAAGGAGACTTTATGTCTACCTGTAGGTGCTTTTTTAATGTTTTAGAGTGCTTAGGAATTCATGAAACCGGAAAGCAAACACTTTAAGTTACAGGTAGCATTTAAAGCACAAATTAATACAGGATAGTCACATATCAGAGCTCATAGCCTGTAACTATCCCTAAATAGGGAAGGCATTACATTAACATTCAGAAACAGACTATTCCCTTGTCACAATAATATAGAGCTAATATCTTACATCTCTCAGAAAATTATGTAACATGTTGCTAAAATGTTTTGAGTGTGGATAGAGAGACAATACTATATAGTACAACAGCTAGCTCTTTATGGTAGGGAGAGTACAGGTAGGAAAAACAAACAAGCTATTTGTTGCAAATTAAAGCAAAAGTTGAACATTCCCAATTTTTTAAAAGCTTGAACTATTGTTTCAGGCAAAGCTGCTATATTTAATAAAGTTATGACCAACTTAAAGTGAATAAATTACATCTCATTACTGGGTCTGTTAGGATGGAATATAAAATGGTACAGGTGACTCAAAGAGGTGCTGTAAGGTCTCTTCCAGTTTTCCACTGCTGTTTCCTAGTCTTCATTTAAGTAAGGAAAACAAGCACTTCTCTTGCTCAGAATGCAGGGTTAATAATATCTGCACTTAGGTAAAGCACATGGCCAAATGAGCAGGACATCAATTACATCATCAAAAGTGCTAAGAAGGTAACAAAAGGACTACTTTTTGCAAAATAAGAGGAGCTTATTTCTTACTAATAAAACAGTGATTTGGGACAATATGTTGCTTGCACTGAATAGGGTCTAACTATAGAACTATAGAAAATCTGAGAACTTACATCTATTGTAATTTAAACAGGTATATTATTTACCAACTGCAAATGTATTATATTTATTTATGAATTTTTAATGTGGCAATAAATAATGTTATAATTTTAAAACACTAAATGTTCTGCATAATTGCTTGACAATATATTTTTACATTTCTCTATTTTCATCAGAAATTAATCTCTTTTAGATATTTCAAGTAACATTTAATTCATTTAATTTTATGTTTAAATTAATAAACTACTTAAGCTCAAGCAACTTATATTTTAGTTTATAAAAGTTGTTACAATATTCCCTTTTCATAAACAAACCTATTATCTTTTAAAATATAATTTTAGCAGAACCCCAGTGCAATCCTGAATACAGACATGTTTTTAAAGTTCCATTATTGTAACTGCCATCAAGTTCAAAGGAGCAACTTTGAGATAAATGAATATAAAGCTGCAATATTCCACATATGAATCTGAGAGTAAACCCCTCTGAAATAATGATACACACCTCTGAGCAGATTAGGCATCATACGTAGTTTTAAGGACCTATAATTGCATATCTATATTTACAATCCTAAACATTCACTAAACATTATGGAACTTATTTCAATATAAAGTGCATAGGATCATGTTATTAGTATTCTGTAATAAGAAAAATAATTTTGGAAGTTTAGGATATCTGTTTGGAAGTTTAGGATATCTGTTTTAAAGTGCATATAATTTAGATCTTAAAATTCAAGCATCCATGATAATGTTTATTTCATTTCTCCACACCATTCACTTCTGAAAAAGTGGTGAAAAATTAGTGGACTTATGATAAAGCAAAGAAATACTGGAGTAGGGGAGGATCACATCTTAATACAGAAAATTCTTAAAGTGAATGTAAAGATAAAATCAGAGACTTTTCTTTTGGGCATAATGAATAAAGAACTTGAAAAAAAACTTTGATGTTATATATGCTGATAGCAGCAAGAATATTCTATGCACAAAAATGGAAGGGTACTTTAATTTACAGTGGACAAATGGCTGCAAAAGTAGATGGAATTAGCAGAGATAGCTAAATTGATTTGCTTTGATTAAAGAAAAGAATACAATTAATTTTGTTTCTATTTGGAAACCGCTTTTGGACTTTGTGATTGAGGCGGGAAAAAAGTAAAACTTTGATTTTGGCTTTTGCTGATTAGTTGTTGTTATGAAAATTGCTAGTATATATTATTATACTATATAGTAAAAAGCTGAGGTTGTATATTATTACCTTATTCTATTGTGCCAAAAAGAGTAGGAAATCAATGCTTTTTCTTTTCCTTTTCTCCTACACTTTTTCCTCTTCCCCTTTTCCTCCCCTATTTTCCCATTTTTCATTTGTCTTTGTATTTCTGTATTTTACATTTTGATAAACTAATAAAAATTGAGAAAAGGTGGAGAAAAAATAATATAAAAATCTTATATCCTTTTAATTAAATCTTAACACAAACTATTTGCAGAATTTTTAAAGTAAACAATTAAAGAACAAGTTCAAAATGTGTTCAAAACATGTCTTCAAGTGCTACTAAAATGCAGTTTATGTAGATTCTAAGAGTTATAAAAAGTATTTTCATATATCTGAACATAAGTTAGCATGCACAAGTGCAACAAAATTCTACCTCAAGTTTTATGACTCCTTGTTTTGAATATAACTGTGAGAATGTCAACAATGCACTCTTTCAGTGCTCCTTATTTTGTTACGTTTAACTGATATGAAATGTAATTTTACTTATTGTATTTAATTAAAAATATAATTGGACACCTAAATTCAAAAGCACAGACAAAAGTTCTTTTAAGCATGCAGCAGAGGTTTAACCCTGCTGAGCGGGGCATTTTTAGGGAAAGATTGAAAATAGCTTTTCAGAGGATAAACAGCAGCACATACCAGTTCCTTCTTGCCACGAGACTCACTATTAAGGCATCCAAGGAGAACAGAAAGTGATTATTCATAATGCCAGATCAGAGTTATTAAAAAGAAAAAAAGAAAACACCAAGATGCTGGCCTGGGTAAAGGCCAAAGGGAGAAAAAGCAGACAAAGTTATGTTCTGTGAACAAGAACAAAAGGTGACAGAACCACCAGGGCAGAACTACAGTATTAAAGATACTATGATCCACAGAGTCAGCACTCTGTTGACTTTTACCTGAGCCGAAAAGGTGCCTGCTGGAGATGGTGGAGATGGCGTTTCCTGCTGATGGCTGTCTTCTTCCTCTGGTGAATCATCCAGGAGAACTTTACCGCTCTTGTTGAGCTTCCACATTATGAGTGGAGGCCAGAGGAAGAGGAAGGGGGAGGAGGTAAAAACTGGCCTGGTCCTTTATTTATGCCTGAGAAAGTTTGAGAAAGAACCAGGTGAAATGGCAATGACTTTGCTATTCAGCCAACCAGCCTACAGATATTAAGCTTTCTGGAGAAACAGCTAAACGGGTCGATCCTAAGATGTGCGGGCAGACTTCCAGAAAAGCCACTGTCGGGGGGGGGGGGGGGGGGAAAAAAAAAAAAAAGCACGAGAAAAAAGTGAAACGCGCAACCGACTGCGCGCACATACACACAGAGACCTAGCGCCTTGTCTGCTGGGTTTGTCCTACAGAGCGGGTTTCTTCCCTTCACCCTCCGAGCATAACCCCATTGCTCTCCCGAGGGTCAAATATATGGGTCCCGCTGACTCAGTCGCGGAAAAGGGGTGGATGCAATCTGTACGTGCTCAGAGGCATCTTTGCAGAGAAAGGGGCGGGCGGGAGACGCCACAAAGTATGCGAAGCGGTAAAGAGGGCAGTCGCCCGACCTTAAGGCTCAGCGCTGGGGGGGGGACAAGGAACCCACCCCCTTCCCGCCCCCTCCCTAATTTTGTCTGCTAAAGCGGAGACGGCGATAAGCCGTCGCTCTACCACCACCGCCACCCCCCCTCCAGAGACGCTCCTCGCGGGAAGGGGGGAGTCGCTACTGCTGCCGCCGCGGCCTGGTAGGGGTGTCAGACTGCCCCCCCCCGTCCACCCACCCCGACCCTTCCCGCCCCCTCACCTGGGACCGTTCCGCGTCGTCGTCAGAGCCGCCACCGCAGCGTAGAGCCTGCGAGC